GCCCAAGTGCAAAAAAAAAAATTCAGGCCAGAACATTCCATTCCAGTGCCACTCGTCTGTGGAACAAAACTGAACCATCTCTTAGAGACACGCTTTCACAGAAACGCTTTTTAGGGACCTCCAAAGGAAATAAGGTACATTGTTTAAGGAAAAAAGGCCAGTGACGCCATCAGAATTATGTAATAATGCTGAAGGTAAAAGAAATACTAACACAAGAACACCAATATAGGGCGAAAAATATACCAGTCATCCCTCGTTTCTCGCAGTTTCGCCGCGCGCCCCTCGTGCTTGCCCGCAGTCTACAGTGTCCAAAGAAAAATAAGAGACTGCTCGCAGTCTCATCTTGATGACGCCTTTTCGGTGATCGCGATCTGGACAGGATTATATAATAAGACGAAACGGTAAGAAATTGGTTGTTTCAATATCATCGAGTATGAAATCTTTCAAATGATTACTAATAAGCTGATTAAAAGAACGGTACGTTTGTACTGACCTACTCGGATTGTGCACTAAACGTCACTATTCAGGTGACCTGGAATGCGAGCTGGAAACATTGTCACGAATGACAATTAGACCTACCGTCGATGACGATTTCTGTTTTTCTCTGACTTCTTTTTTTCCATTGTTCAAAATCGAATGAAGAAGAAGATTTTAGAAAAGCGACCCAATTATACGAAAATACGGTGGGCGTAAACTGCAGACACAGGACACATCGAACTAAAAGGGGAACCAAAGGTCAAACATCTCAAGTGATTGACATGCAACTTTGCAGGCTGTCAATTTCGTGATATTGGATTGGCTGAAGGAAAAGAACGCTGGTTTTCAGGAGTTTTATTTCGGGGTTTGCCGCTTTGGATTTCACTGGTTTCGCGCGGATTCCAATGTTTACGATGAGCAGAAAAGTTGAAATTGCTTCCTTCGTCACCAGTTTTATGGGATCATTTAGCAGCTACGAATTGTTCATTATTCCGAGGCTAGATGGTGCCATTCATTATTCCCGATTTTCTAACTCCGAATCTTCATTATTCATTTTCTTGTAAACCCCGTTATTCATTATTCATTATTCAGCTTCCACCCCCGAATGTTAAGATACTCTTCATTTGTTACATCAAGCAAAAGCTGTTACCGTGAAGTGAAGGAAGAGAAAACCAGACTGGCATTTTAATATAAGATGAAGTTCCTATACATAGGCGCAAAGATGATCGCACACGATCCTTTCACATACTTTAATTTTAATAAAGCAGATAAGACCGAGATTAACCTGTTATTCTGCGGGTCTGTATGGTAATTTACCTTAAATACAGGGTGAAATTTTGGCCGTTTTCCATTTTAAAGGAAAATCCTCAGTTTTCGAACTTTTACTGATGATAGCTGACAAAGAAGCGGAAATGACTGTCATGTCATTTAGGAGATTATATGATTTATTAACAAATATGTCGCGGTGCCAGGCATTTCTGGGCAATAGTGGTTTCCAATGAAATTTCGCAAGAGCATCACTAGAAAATGCGCGTGGAGGAAGAACTAAAATGATACGGGGAGTTTTATTTAGAAGCGCTTGCAAGTCATTCATTAATGTCGAGTTTTCTCGGGACGTACCAGATGATGTCTCCATGATCAAAATGTTGTAAAACAAAGCTATTGATAAAGGTAAACCTAGCGCTAAGAGGTAAATAAGCTTTAATCCTTCTCAGAAGACCAAGTTTCTTATTGATCTTACTGCGAATGTGTTTAATGTGATAATTCCATGACAATTTTTCATTAATTACTATCCCAAGATATGAAAAACTCTATGCCCTGACCAGTTATAACTACTATTATTTGCTTAAAGTAACATTGCGCGTGCATATATCGCAAGCTGTCAGCTAGCTCCGTTTGTCGAATGAAACACTCAGACGAACATATGGGATAAATTTGCCACGAGTGTGGCTTTTAAAGGCCCTCGTTATCTCGACGACAAAAACTCGAACATGAGACAAAGGTGGGGGTACAAAACAGGGGCACCCAACGGCAATTTTTGGGAAAATATCTGTTCGGAAGACAATTTGAGATCTAGAATTTTCGGAGCATTTGTTGTAAAATTTCTTGCTTGCCTGCCTCTCCTAGGATTTTCGAACATCTACAAAATGGTATAATTACCCATTATTACCCATTTTTAACGGATTTTGACCCTAAGAAAGGCCACCTAGAATTTTCGGGAGCCTTTTCCTGGCTGAAATTTTCGAGAAGGTAAGTTTTTATCCCTATAATTTTCGGATCACTAGACTTTCAGCTAGGAAATCCGAACAGATGAAAAGTGGGGATAAAAATATGCCTATATCTACCGTTTGAATACTAAAATACGTTCAACAATGCTATGTTAAGTGGTTTTGAACTATATCCTCGTTGGGTGCCCCTGACAAAATCGCAATACAATAGCATTACTAAAAATAAGTGAAAAGGAGGCAGTTGGGGAGGAGGAGGGATTCAAAATTACTGAAGTTGACTCGACGGAGAGGAGTTAAAAGGAGAAATGACTCTAGTGATGTCCACCTTTTAAAGCAGAGAAATATGATAAACACTTCACGTTTCTGAGTTCTGAGAGACGTAAAATCTCGCCTCGTGATCACTGCATGATAAGTAGAATAGATAACCTTGGCATTGCATAAATACCAATTGTTCGTACCTCATAATTGTTGCTTTTTTCGAGAAAATTGCCATCAGTAGAAATCAGAGCGGAATCAATAGAGCTTAAGTAACGACGATGACGACGGCAACAAGAAGGGCAAAAAACAATAAGTTTTTATAAGCAAAACAACAACTTTGCACGTGCATTACCCTTTTTGTACATTTCTTTGACTTCGTTGCACGACTGCGACGTGAAAGTACCGAATTTCACGTTCGTCGAGGGCGGGAACACACGACAACAACTTTATCTTTCTTTTCGAGAACTTTGATGCAGTCCTTTAGAATTCAACTCAAAAAGAAAATTGCCAACACTTGACGAATTAAACGACATGAAATATGTGAGATAAAGTTTGAAGAAGCGCGAATTGACTTGTTAAGTGACATTTTCGTACCCGCCGCCGTCCTTTTTGCTTAAACTCCCTAATACTGTCAAGACAGGAATTAGCATAAATTTAGATTTAATAATTTTTATAGACGTCAGTTGATTGATCTGCATCCAGTTCTTAAAGCGGTTAATATCAGAATTCAGTTTGAGCTCAATCTTCGTAATAGACTTTGATTTGAATGATAAAACAGTATTATCAGCATATAATGTAACAGAGCAGTGTTCTAGGACGTCAGGTAGATCATTCATGTAAATCACGAACAAAAGCGGCCCAAGGATGGATCTCGGCCTGAGCAACCCCAATGGAGACAGGTTCTTGGTTGGACATTGCGTTATTGCAGCCTGTGACCTGACTTCTGCTTGCAAGAACGGAGCTAAACCAGTCACTTGCAGCGTCTACAACACCAAGAGCAGCTAAGAGCGGACAACTTGTTTAAGACGATTTTGCGGTTGACCATATCAAAAGGTTTAATTAAGTCTAAAAAGGCAACTCTAGTAACTCAGCCGGTGTCCATGGCGTGAAGAATCTGTTCATTAAAATAAGCAATTGCAGTAATTGTAGAGGATTTGGGTTTATACCCGAACTGCTATGGTTAAGAATCGTGATCATTCACAAACGGCATCCTATAAATAATCGCGATCCTAAGTTCCGAATATTCAATGACACTTTCTCACCAGCATCTACTATTCGGCATGGAGAGAGTAATTGATTAATTGTGCTGTTCCACCACCAGTGCGGCCCACGCGAGAATTGTCCATCATTTAAAACCCAGGAGGTGATTCTTTGATCCGGTGACAATATCACGTTTAGAAAACTAGGTGTCAGTCAGTGCAAAAAAATCTGTTTTCATAGTACATACTTAACACAGAAAATCAGGCGACTTGTTCCTGAGAGATTGTACATTCGCACAGAATATACTAGCTGGCATTTGTAGGGGCTGTTTCGCAACAACAACCAAGTTATAAACATTGACACCCTTGGGGTGCAGTGAACTGAAAAAAAAAACCTGATTTAGTTTTGTCAGATAAATTAACAGTTTTTATTCTCATACGACCAGTTCTTCTCGGCCTCTATATTTCATCATTCCATGGTCCTTTAATGCTTTCGTAGTAGGCATGGACAATTTGAGGTAACACGATGCACGTATGTCAAATAAACGGTAACGAGAATTATACAGATTTCCTCGATCTGCATATTTTTTTTACTCAATACACAGCCTCATTCAATATTTCTTGAATATCCCTAGAGAGTGAGGCAATTAGAGTGCTTGAAACACCAATTTAAGATGACTCAGGGTGTACAAATAGTAACTATATCACCAGGCAAAACTCAAAAGTCAAGAGAGGGCATTTTAAATTCAGCCTCAGAGGAAATACGGGGTTGAATGATTGAAACAATGGAATGCAGTTAGGATGAATATTATATATAAAGAATACTAACAAACATGAAATTTGATATGAAACTGTCTTCCTATTTACAAATAAATGAAAAGTAAAAAAAAAAATACAAAATGTATCTACTGAAGAAAACAATGATTATTCTTTGCCAAAACATTCTTCTTCACGTGGAACATGGCGGGTCGGCTGTGTTCTTGTGGTTCTTTGGTAATTTGTGTAATAGTGCTCCATTTCTCTGGAAAACAGCGTATGTCAGCCGAACAGGTTCGCCTTTAGTTTTTGGAAGCTCATAAATGAGTGAAAGTGAAAGTGAAAGTGAAAGTATATTTTCTTCTTTCTGGACAACCAAGCCGAGTCGCATGCCCATATCGAGGATGGCGGCAAGTTTAATGTTTATTCTTGCTGCACGGCTTATCAACGTCATTTTAGCCGCAATTTTAGTTCTTATGGCAAATAATGTATCATCGAATCCTGGGCCAGGTTCTGCTCCTCCAGCCAGTGTGAAAGACTTACGAATTTATTATAAATATCCACAGCTTACGTAACAAGCTAGATGAACTACGCTTGTTCTGTAATTAGTACAAAATCACAGGTTGTTTCTTTGAACGAAACATGGCTTGATGAGAATATCTCAAACGATGAACTACACCTTTCTGGCTATAATATTATTAGAAGGGACAGAGATTCTTTCGAAGGCGGAGTGGCAGTTTATATTGACGAGCATCTACAGTTTAACCACATACACGTGGAAGCTCTCTCTAATATTGAAGCTCTCTGGTTTGAATTTACACCGACAAAAAGCAAGAAAATCTTGTTTAGCAGTCTTTGTAGACCACCAAATTTTGATCGTTCTGTTTTCTCGCAAGAGGTCGAAACAGTCTTAGTGAACTATTAGAAAGACGAAAATGAAACCATCTTATTGGGTGACTTTAATTTTGACTTTGCTTTGCCTTTGTCTGGCTATCAAGAGAAAGCACAGAACTTCTGACATATCACCAGAGCCTTCAACCTGACGTAAATTATATGTTAATGCACGAGAATCACCGAGAGTTCCAGGACTATGACTAACCTATGACTGACATGCTGTGCCATTTATGGAATTAGAAAGCTTCACAAATTAAGTGACTGTTTACATGGAGGTGGGGGACCACAGGTAGGTGAGGTAACATGTAGAATCACCCCACCTAACATGTAAACGTGATCACACTAAAATGAGAGATTTGGAAATGACATGTCCTCAACACGAGCGATCTGTTTTGGCGTCCCTCAGGGTTTAATTTTGGAGCTACATCGCTTACAGAACCACGCAGCTCGAATTATATTACAGAAGAACACCTCAAATGACACTTTCCGTGTGCTTAACTGTTAAATCTAGCTTCCAGAAGAAAAATGCACAAATTCATTCTAGTTTTTAAGTGCTTAAACGCAATTTATAAATTAAACCAGAGCACTAATTGCCTTTTCAAACTAGCAATCGTATTAAAGCTTGCTCACCTGTTAGGTCCTCTTGAACAAGACAACGAACCGCTGCACACTGAATCACCCAATTTCGGACCACGAGTTGTAAATACAAGACCACGGCGTCACTACCCAAATATGGGGCCTTACACCCAAATATGGTCAAAAATGTAAATTTTAGAGGGTTACGCAGAATTTGAGAATTTTTGCCTACATTGCGCGGCGTTATAATTCTGCCGGCGAGGCAACCTCGATTCTTAGCTCGGTTGCCTCGTTGGCAATCAAAGGATTAAGAGAAGTAATGAGATTGGCCCCTGCTCAGCCTCACTTCATAAAGAAGATCCTAAGTGAAAACTAAGTTAAAAGGTAAATGAAAGCAACCCAACAGCGTAAAATAATTACCTGCTCGAACTTATTGTACACTAGAGAAACTAAACTACGAGACATAACAGTGTAAGCGAAAACATTGCTGCTTACTGTAACATATTGTTAACATTGCCTGTGCGCAAACTCATTATAAAATAAAAATAATAAACAGAATTAAACTACACGAAGCAAAATGTCTGAAAGGCTTGAAGCAATGAGATTGACCCTTTCTCAGCCACATTGCATATGTTAGAGTCTAAACTAAATAAAAAGGTAACTGTAATTAGCCCACAGCTTAAAATAAAAGATCAATAAACGAGATCGGCCCTTGCTCGAGCTCATTGTACACTAGAGAAACTAAAGTACAAGATAAAGTGAAAGTGACAACATTGTTCCCTTCTGGAATACATTGTAAACATAAGGTAATACATACACTAAGAAAAATGAGATTGGCACCTGTGCAAACTCATTATAAACTAAAGACAGTAAACAGATTTGAGGAGACTGTAATAAGAAAAGCGCTCCTACAAAAGATTGCATGTGAAAACTGAATCTAAGGTATGAGAGTGAGGCGTTCACTGAGACGGTGGCAGGTGGTCCATTGATGAAAGTAAAGGGGTTATAAAGTACTTCATGAAAGCATTGGATTTCCATCGCCCAAAGCACCTAATCTGCGAGTCGGAAAAGCCTTGAGCAGCTGCCCATGAGGCAGCCCCTATTCGGAAACTGTGCGTTTGGCACCGAGAGGTGTCGAGACCGCAAAATGTGAGTGCCTGATTGAGTGTTGGTCCGGTCGGGGTTAGAGCCCGCGACCTCCCGCTCCGCAGACCGGCGCTCTCCCAACTGAGCTAACCAGGCGGCGGTTAATCTCGTTTCCTTGTAGGAATTGTGAGTAAACTCCTTCCCCAATAGTTTTAAAATACAGTTGAGTTGGTGCGGGTGGGTAACATGACTGTGTTAATTGTCCTTAGTGAGTGTAATTTTTACATTTTTTTGCATTTCGTTGACTATTCAAAACATATTATGACCACATTTCATGACAATGATTCCCTGCGATTTGCACATAAGACACTTTTATGTCCTTAATAGTATTATCGATGTTTTCCGCTTTTTTATAAAGAAAGAAATGAAATTAAGGAAGCAAACAAAATCTTAAACAATGTTTCATTTGGGTCTTCTTATAACAGTCTTAGTAAAACAGTATGCGTGTTATAACAAAGAACTAGGCCAAACGTCGAACTGCCCATAGAAACAAAAGACCCCACCCCGCAGAGATTTTTACAGAGTTACATGTATTAATTAGAACATCTGTGCAAACTGCTTACTTAGTGTTAACGTACTTTTGGAGAAATTTAAGGAAAGAAAATCTTTATTTTACCCATTAACTCAAATGGCCGAATCTCTTTGTAGTTGGTGGACCATTTGTCGTTTAATTTGAGGTACTTAAAAGCGAGGTACATGAATATAAACTAGAATGATGGTGTTAAATCTACCATTAGTCGTATCGTTTTCATAGGCTGGAGAAACAAAACATTACACTTTGCACTTTTAAGAACAGTTTTAGAGTGAAATATTAGGTTTGGTGCCACCAACAAACATACAGCGTTACCATGTCAACAATAAAGTGGCAACCTTGACAAACTGCATTTTTAGACACCCCCCACAACATTTAATTCCATGCAAAATTTTAGTGGGGGTCAAAATTTTTCCTTTCCCGCGTTGCGTAACTGTCATAGAGAATCGCTCTTAATTACAATTAGCCCCAATAAGTGCCAAATGCTGTACTTACACGTACCAAAATGAGGTACTGCTCAATAGTTTACACTTTTTATGGAAGCTCACAGCACCAATTTTTTTATTTTTGACTTCCTCTTCTGCTCAAGGTACCCTTGTTATTCTGACTAGTTGCTAACGTGCGTTAGCGATCGCTAGACAGTGCATAGAGTGTAATAATAATACCAAATTGTTTCGGATGAAAGATAGAAGACTGCGCAGTTGGTTGGTTTACGATTATAATATTACGTGAAATCCCTTTGAGTCGTTCGCAGTTTGGGAGCAGAGATAGCGGCGAGTGAATTAATATTTTTTGTACAGTTCCTTGCCATGAATGTTCCCAACCCATAACCCTTACTATGGACGCAAACAACTGAACCAGAATAATTGTGCGGAAAAGGGGTAAGGGATGAAGTACTCTAAAAAAGAACGACAGGCCTCTTTGTGTCGGGGTTGGTAATTCCCCAGGGTAATGGTTGGAGAGATGAGGGGGTGACAATCCCCCAGGGTAGCGAGTGAGAGGAGATAATCTTCTCTAGGGGGTGATAATCCCCCAGGGTAGTGAGAGAGAGTTGGTAATCCTCTCTAGGGCGCGATAATCCCCCAAGGTAGTGAGTGAGAGGTGAAAATCCTCCCTAGGGGGTGATAATCTTACCAAGTTATGGAGAAGTGAAAGCTTTGTAGGGGTCCAATTTTCCTGGGTTAAAAAAAAAATAGGAGTCAAGGGGAAAAGGGTGACCTGTATGGGAACACTTCATCCCAGAAACATTTGTTTATTCGACTTCAAAAACCTTGATACAGGTAAACAGAAACTATTGCTATAATACTGATTGAAGAAAGTCACAATGTAAGATTTGTTAAGATTTCCGAGCCTACAAGAAACAGTACGAGGCTGGTAGGATATGTGTACGAATGTTCCTAGGAATACTAAAGACACCTAGAGAAATAATACCATGCCTTGTGTTGCTTAGAGCCCATCAAATAGTTAACGAGAAAACATTAACACTAAACAAAGGCAGCACCAGTGAAGAGAAATAAAAAAGGAGAGAGGGAGCGAGGGAGGGAGGGAGGGGGATTTAACAGTAGTTCTCAAGGGAAGCGCAATAATAGAGAAATGTTTTGTGCCTCGCTAAGCACGAAATTATGAATGTCACTCTGTTCTTCAGTGTGCATGTGACAGCTGACATGATTGGCTAAGCCCGATCACTCGAAAGGAGAATGTTAGGTGTAGGAAGTGACCCATGACCGGGGGTGAACTGGTTTATTCCTCTCATAGGGATTTAAGGCGGGTCTATGGTTATCACATTAACTTTAATTTATATGTCTATAAATTAGCAACGAACAACCTTTGCACGAATCTCTGGTCAAACCCTTTTTCTTACTTGTTTAACGGACAGACCAAAGAGCGTAAGGAATGCATTAACGTCTAAAGGTTTTGCCTCAAAAGTCAAAGAAAATTAGTTTTTATGAGTAAGTGTTTTGAACCAACCGGCAAAGTTGCATGCTCATAACTGGCCCTAACCTACCATCAATATCTTCCGGTTTTAAACGCCTCAAGGGCTTTTTCAACCTTAAACTTATTTAAGTAGCCTCTTCTAGGTGTTCAGATAGTAGGGAGCGTCAGGCAGATGGTAAATCTTGAGGTCTTCTGGTGCCTAAATGTTAAAAAAAAAATGGTCAGGTGACAACATTGAAAAATGAATAAAATTACCGAATAAGTAGCGAATTTACTTTGCTCGGATAAATACATTGGCGTTTTTCAGATAACGAGTGCATATATATTTCTTTCAACGTTTACAATGAATGCACCAAAGCTTAAAATAAAAGTCCTTATTAATTTAAAATTGAATTTGGGCGTTTAAAATGATGTTTTTGCTCAGTTTTTTTTTATTGAAGTGCTATGGACTGTCATTGCAAACGTAAAATGATGGACTTTTATTAATATGTATGAAAAAATGATTCTGCTTGACTTCTTTTCTCTTAAACACACCACCAGTTTTGTCAATTTCAAGAGTTTTAGAAAAATGGCCATGAGAGATATCACGTGATCTATTAACACAATATTTATACTTTGAAATGTTACAACAATCAGTTCTTTTGTGTGCCAAATTTTGATTTCGGCTCCATAATCTGTTCCGAAGTTGTAGCCAAGAAATCATTTTCCATTGGTAAACCCATTAGACCCAGGTTTTAAACTATTTAAGGGCAGCAATTACTTTCGTCTTGAAACTCCTAGTCAAAAAATCGTTGAGTTACTTACTGCCTCAATGACATTTCCTCTATTTTATAATAAAGAAG